TTTAGCTTACTGTGGCCTAACCGGATGCAAGGCGAGTGAGCCTCAGCAACAAAATCAGTTTGAGTGCACTGATTTCTACTAATTTTAATTGCCAGTGCGTGATATACAGCGCTGTCCTGTTGGGCCGAACTTTTGTCAGACACCTCGTTTCCATTTATTCCTGCCGCTCACTTTGAAAGCACCACAATGGACAAAGATCGGCTGATTTATGAAGTCAAAATCAGGAGTTATCTACACAACACGTCCTCATTTCACCACAACAACCTAAGTAAGGTGTCAGTAGGCAGGAATCACCAGGGAGCTGAACCTTTCTGGTTAATGACCATCACTAGAGATGTGACCACAACAGACAGTGTGACCAGAAAGATTTAAATAGGTTGGACTACGACAGATTTTCCCAATCAAAAACATGTAATTAATGGATAACAGAAACCCTGAACTGAACACAGCAGCGCTAATGACAGAGCTGCTCAGGCTGTTCTTATGCACTGATTGTATGTTTTCTGAAAAACGTAATGCACCAAAAATCCTACATATCCCACGTAATCATGAGCCAGTAATACATGTTTAACCCATGTATTTGGGAAGGCTGCAATCATGTGACCCATGTGCCGATGGCAGTAAAGAAGGAAGTAGTCTGGGGAGGGGTTGGACAGGTCACAGAGCACAGGACTTTCCTCCGGGAAACCGATGTTCGGAACCTTGTGAAATTTGAGTAAACTTTGAGTAATTTTAAGGTTTGTTGTCACCATGTTACTTTTCCTAAACCTTACCATAGTAACTTAACTTGCCTAAACCCAACCTCCATACCTTAACAAACCAGTTTTTCATAGATCTTGCACAAATCGTTGTATGAGGATTGGCTGCGTTGTTTCGTGTGTGTTTAAGAGAGAGACAGTGAGAGAAACAGAGAGGGGGAGAGAAGGTGGACTATTGCATGCAATGTTTCTGTTAGTTATTAAAGACTTGCTCAGAAGATTGCTTTGTCACTTATTGACCCACCCACCCAAAACCTGCATTATTTTCTAAGCTTACCCAAAACCGCACTGCCCATGGATCCACCCATGCATCACTAAAATCAAATGTTCCCTTTTAGCTCTGCTTTTGGTCTCCTCCAACTCTTGAGGGAAATATCTATCTCTTTAGCTGCTAAATGCTTCACTAAGTCGTACAAACAAAACCATTCCCTAAAAGAAGCTTTCCAGCTTTCCAGCTTCAGAGTTGGTGAGAATTCTCTGTGGGTTTAGATCTACATTGATCCCTTTGACATTACACAATCATTTGATTTAATGTTAATATGAAAGTATAATTTAATAGAGCTGTCAGGGCAAATCCTTTTTATTTAAAGACATTTTCAGAGGACATGAGCCGAGTTAAATCTACGTGACATAAACAATAACAGGAAATTGAGCTTGACGATTCATTATTGACCTTGAAAATAGCAAAATATATTTTAAGATGATTAATGCAGGAAACGGTTGTGTGTGTGTGCCTGTTTGCCTTATGCCCAGTCCAGTAAGCACTCACATTAATTGAGTACAGTGTGGACCATCAAC